AGGACATCTGCGGCCGTCTTGGGGCCATCGCGGCTGTCTTGGAGGCGTCTTCATCTTGGGCCATTTTGGCCGTCTCGGAGGCCATCTGGAGGCAATGTTATCAGAGCAGGCCGGGGTGACAGACCTTTTGACGGGTCTCGCAGGGCGGCGGGCTGGGCCGATACCCCAGCGGTAATGTTCGTACGATTGCGAAACAACACGCCGACACACCCAACGTCTGGCACGCCCTGACCCCTTGTGGCAAGCCACAGGGGTCGGCAGATCGAAGGTGCTTTCGGCGAACCACTGTCGCCGCATTACTTTTCGAAGCGCCGATGTGGCCTAACGTTGTTGCCCAAGCTGGCGCAATCCGTCGGACTATGTCTTCCCTGAGCCGTTGTGGGTACCCTTCGGAGGACACGTGGTCGAGGAAGAGGGGTAGCATCAAGATAGGGATGATGAGGAGAAACAAAACGAGAAGGAGAAGGATAAGAAGGCGGATGCGGAGGCCTCTTCGCAGCCTCTTGGGGCACTTTTGGTGCCTCCTGGGAGCTGCCTGGGGCCCTCTTGGGGGTTTCCTGAAGGCCTCTTGGGGGCTCTCGGGGGCCGCCTTGGGCCTCTTGGGGGCTTCTGGGGGCCTCTTGGGAGCCCCTTTGGCCGTCTTACGGCGTGCCTGGCCTGCCTGACGCAGTCGCAAGCTGTCTTGGAGGCCTTTCTGGGGCGTCTTGGGGCGCTTTAGGGCCGTCTTGGCCCATCTTGGGCGTCTTGGAGGCTTCTCGCCACGTCCTGGGGCCCCTCTCGGTGCAGCCCTGGGGGCCCAGTGCCTCTCGAGCGCTCTAGGGGGGCGTTCTCGGAGGCCGTCGTGGACAGTCGGAAGACCACTCAGAAAAACGAAGCACCTGCTAAATCAGTCAAGCACCTATGGAAACATACCGATTCGGTCCCCTTCGGGCCTTCATGAAGACCTCTCGGCGGCCTCTTGGGTCGTCTGAGAGGCCTGCTGGGGGCACCTTAGGCCGTCATGAGCCGTTTCGAGGCCATCGTGGGCCGCCTTGGGTGCATTTTGAGCCGTCTTGGATGCATCGTGGGACCATCTTCGGCCGTCTTGTGGCCATCTTGGCCGTCTTGGAGGCGTCTTGTGACCGTCTTGGAGGCAATCTTGGGCCATCTCTGCCGTCTCGGAGTCCGTGGAGGGACAACTTTATCAGATCACGCCGATGGGGTAGACCTTTTTCTAGGTCTCGGTGGGTGGGTGGCGCGTCCGGTCGAGACCTCACTGAGAGTTTTTACAAATGACCACTGCAACCAAATTAGGGGTCACATGCGAACCCTGGCCCCACCTCCCACGATTTCTGAGGGGGGGGTCACACTTCGTTCGGGAGCTTTCGAGCGAAGTGACCATGCGTTCCCCCAGCCCTTGCGGAAGCTCTTCGTGGAACACGTGGGGGAGGAAGAAGAGGTGAGGAGGAGGATGAGGAGAATGATGAGGATACCTTCGGGGAGTCTCTTGGATCATTCTTGGGCCTCCTGAGCTTCTTGCAGGCCCCTTGGGGGCCTCTTGGGGTCCTCCCTGGGTGGGACTCTTGGGGTCCACAGGGGCCTTCCTGTGGGCCTCTTTGGCCGTCTTTGTGGCCCTCGTGGGGGGCTTCAGGGCCATCTTGAATAACCCCATGCCCCCGATAATAAACCCTAAGGGATAATAAAGTTCGGGGTTTTCGGGGGGATAATAAAAGTTGCCCGCCAGAGCCAGCATAAAGAGATATCAGGCTGCCAGAGAGAGAAGGAAATCCAAAGAACATGCATATATATATATATATAAATAAAGGAAAAGAAGAAGAGCAGGGAGAGCAGGAGGAGGAGAGAGGAGCGGAGAAGGAAGAAGCGAAGATCCAAAGTTCAACATTTATTATATTGAATTTGTAAACGCTTAATGGCGATTAAGGTTTCCATCTGCTCGCTCTGCCTAGTTCCCCCAGGATAATCAACCACAGCGATAAACAAGTTCAGGGGGCAAGGAGACAAGAAGAACAATACATAGAAAGAGAGAGAGATAAAGCAATAAGAAAAGAAAGAGCAGAAGGATAAGAAGGAGGAAGAGCAGGGGAAGCAGAGGAAGAGGAATAAGCAAACATCCACAGTTCAAAACTTATTAGATTTGATTTGTAAACGCTTAATGAAAATTGAAAGTTTCATCTGCTCGTGTAGGGTAGCTCATGTGCTTAGTTTTCCCAGGATAATCAACCCCAGCGATAAACAAGTTGAGGGGAGCAGGGAGACAAGAAGAAAATCAATAGAAAGAGAGAGATAAATATAGAAGAAACGAAAGAGCAGAAGGATGAGAAGGAGGAAGAGCACGAGAAGCATGAGAAGGAAGTAACCTCGATGGCGAACTTTCCCAGTGATAATGAAGTTCGGCCTCCGCGCCCCCGCGCCCCCGACCAAACTCTTATTGGTCGACGATAAAAAACTCTAACGACTTAAGGGGGGGGTACGTTATTATCGTGGGCATGGGGTTACCATTTTGGACGTCTTGGAGGCTGCTGGGGCCGTCTTGGTGCCCTTTTGGGGCCGTCTTGGGAGCCATGTGGGCCGTCCTGGGGCCATCTTGGATGCCTCTTTGGGGATGTTGGGTGCAATCTTGGGGGCTCCGTTTCATCTTAGGTCGTCAGAAGGCCGTTTTGAAGAAACACATCCATGATTTTGATCTCTTCTTCGAGGCTTCCTCGGCCTACGAATATTCTAACTTTAGGTCTTCGTGGATGCTTCCTCGGCCGTCTTGGAGGCCTCTTGGGAGCTACTGGGGCCGACTTGGTCCATCTTGAAGCCATCTCGGGCCGTCGTGGGGTCCTCTTGGGGCGTCTCTCTTTCGGCCATCTTGGGGCCCTCTCGAGGCCTTCTTGGCCGTCTCGGAGTCGTCTTGGGACCATCTTGGGGACCATCCGGGGCCATCTTGGCCGTCTTTTGGAGGCGGCTCTGGGTTTTCGGTGGCTCTCAGGGTGGCAGGCGGGCTGGTCCGAGGAGGAGGAGGAGGAGGAGTTGTAGGAGGAGGAGGAGGAGAAGGGGGATGAAGGAGTTGGATTAGCAGGAAGAGGATGCTGATGATGATGATGATGATGATGAGGAGGAGGAGGAGGAGGAGGAGGAGGAGGAGGAGGAGGAGGAGGAGGAGGGGGAGGGGGGAAGGGGAGGACCTGGCGGGGAGGCCTGGCAGAAAGGACCACGGCAGCCTGCCAGACGCGCGGCACGCCGCGCGCCCCTGTGGCAAGGCCGCACAAGGGGGGCGGCGGCTCTGTGGGCGCCTGCGGCCCGGCCCGCCACCGCGCCCTGGGCCGTGGGCCACACAGCAAGTGCGGGAGGGGAGGTTCCCCAGCCAGTGCCTGCGAAAGACTTGGCGAACGTTTCCCGCCGATTCTGGTGGCAGGCTGGGTTCCCGGGTCCCCGGTTCCGGGTTCCCGGGTTCCCGGTTATTGGTTCCGGGCCCGTTTGGGTGGCTTCGGGGTTCCCGGGCTCCCAGGTTCCCGGTCGATCTCCTCAGCGAAGCTCGGCTTCCCGGTCAATCTCCTCAGCGAAAACCATCCACTGATTTGGGTCTTTCTTTGGTGTAATATCTTTCAAGCAGTGGCGAAGCGTCCTAGCTTTACTACCAACGAATGTTCTAAGAACCTTTTGTGGTCTGCGCGAAATGTTCTTGGAGCATTTCTGGCTGAGTCTGTCTTGGGTTAAGACGTCAGGATGATGTTCTGTTTTGGTTATTATATTTTTTGGGTTTGAAGAACAAGTTGTGGTAGGCCTATCGGAATGCTGGGACGGTCGGTACCTGCTCGACTCTTCCAGGTCTCGAAGAAGAACAAAACGCTATGCACGTAAACTTTTGGCGCTAAGCGCGGATTTCTTGGAGCCGTGCTGGGCCCCCCGTGCGGCGCTTCCGGCGCAAGCCCTGGCGCGCTCCGCGGCCAGGGAGGGGGGTCCAGCGCATATCCAAGAAGTCTCCGCGGAGCGCCACAAGTTTGTGTTTCTAGTTCTTCTTCTGGGGTCCGCAGAGCGGAGTATTGGGGGGCTCTCGGAACCATTCTGGGTGTCTTTTGCAGCACTCCAGAAGGGTGCACTCGGGGCCTCTTGGGCCGTCCTTGGCGCCCCGAGTGCCGAAGCTGCGAGCTTGCAGAACGCATGTCCAACACCTAAGGCTTCAGCTATGGATCAGGAGGGAAAAAAAAACACAAACACAATTAATCGTCGATTCCCCAGAAAATATGGGAAAATGTGGGAACTGGGGGGGAAGACGAAAACACAGAAAATATAGGGAATTATAGAGAATATTTTTATGTGTGTGTCTTTATTTGTGTGTTCTGGGGCCCCTTCAATGGATACCTCTTGGGCCAGCCCCGAGGGCCCTTGAGATGGCTCAAGAGGTCCCCAGGAGAGCTCCAGGACGGACCCCTGGGGGCATGTTGGTGCGTGCTGGTTGGAAGTTTGGTGTCCCAGCCACACTTCTCTGGGCCTGTGCAGATCACGCGACAAGCTTAACGAGTTGTTGCTCACATTGCCCAATCTAGTGGGCACGAGCGCTCAGGACAGCCATTTGTTCGGGTGGATACCCTTTGTGTTCTTCGTGCTTAGGCTCTCCCGTTTGGAACCCTCTTCGTTTGGGGTACACCCCTGGAGCATCGGGCATTTGGCGAAGGGGCTCGTGTTCCTGACCCACGTTCTGACCATGTTTCGAGTGCAATGAGGACTCTTAGGGACCTGAGGGCACTCCACGCAGTGCCTGCCAGCACGGTGGCGGATATGGCAGCGAGTGGTCTTACGGCAGTTACGGCGTGTGTAGCGCGTTGCCGCGGACCGCGCCAGGCCACATCTACCAGTGCAGCGTCCTGCTGGGGCCCACGGAGCTGGAGCTCCTGGACTTTGTCAGCGTCCTGCGCGAGCTTTGCTGCGACTGGGGCGCGGCCGAGTACGCGGTGCTCGGCCAGAACTGCTGCAGCTTCGCCGCCGAGCTGGTCGAGCGCCTGGGCGTAGGCCCGATGCCGCCCTGGGTGAACCGCTTCTCGAAGCTGGGGCAGGACTCGGAGGGGCTCGATGCATACACTAGGTCGGCCAATGAGCCCAACGAGCTTGGGGGAAGGAATTCGGCGCGTAGGCGCCCCATCATCCCCTCGGCCTCGGAAGCTGGGGCGTCTATACACCGAACTCCTCGGCCTGGAAGGCTTGGCGGATGCGTCGAGACGCTCCCAAGGATGCGAGGGACAGCTGGACGAGCCTCCGCTCCATGTTCACGCAGCCTCAGGGCAGCACCGCGGCCCCCGGGCCAGCCGGCGAGGGCGGCTCCTGGCTCGGCGGCCTGGTGGGCAGGCTCGTCAGCTCTGGGGGCGCGGAGGCGGACACGTCGGACTCGGAGTCCGAGCCCGACCTCGCGGCGGGCGCAGTGGCCGCCTGGCCCGCGCCCGCTCGGCCGCGAACGCTGGTGCTCCTCGGTCGCCCCGCGGGCAAGCTCGCCGTCCAGCTGCGCCCGGCAGGGGGCCGCCGCGGCCCCCCCACCCCGCAGCGCGCCCTGGCCCAGCCGGGGTGCGCGCGCCCGCCGCAGGGCCCCCCGTCGCCGGCGACGGGGAGCAAGGCGACGCAGCAGTCGCCGCAGCAGCCGCCGCAGCAGTCACCACAGCAGTCGCCGCAGCAGCTGCTGCAGCCGCAGCCGCCGAAGCCGGCCCCGTCGCGCCCGGGCGCTGGAGGCCCACTGCCGCCGGCGTTGTCGCGCGCGGGCAGCTTCTCATTGAAGCAGCCGGGCACGCCAGCGCAGCCGCCACAGCCCAACTGCTCGTCCAAGGGGTCGCCGTCTGGCGGGGCGCCACAGCAGCCCCAGCCGCTGGCGCGCGCGCCTCGCCCACCGGGTTCGGGGAGCTCGGCGTCTGCCGAGACCCCGGCCGGGCCGCCGCCGCCACACTCGCGGCACCACGCGCAGGGGTGTTCGCCCTCCGCCGAGCTCCCGCCCGCGCCGCCGCCGCCCCCGCGGCTCCGCACGCAGGGGTGCTCGGCCTCCGCGGTCGGAGCGCCAGTGTCTCCGCCCGCGCGGCATCCCGCGCAGGGGTGCTCCGTCGAGCTCCCGGTCGGGCCGGCGGCGCCCCCTCGGCACCACGCGCAGGGGTGCTCGGCCTCCGCAGAGTTCCTGGCCGGGCCGCCGCCGCCGCGGCACCACGCGCACGGGTGCTCTGCCTCCGCGGTCGGGCCGCCAGTGTCCCCGCCCCTGGGTCAGCAGCCGCAGCGCATGGTCCACAGCCCTTGGGGCAGCAGCCACTAAGGTCGAGGTGGGCGGGGCGGGGTCGGGCGGGGCTAGGGGCTAGGACAAGGGCAAAGCCGTTTCGGGGCGTTCCTGAACGTTCTCGGAGCCTTCCGGAGCGCTCTGAGAAGGCCGCGGCCCTCGAGATGTTCTCCAGATCTGCCGGAGCTCAGAGGTCCTCGATTTTCCCTTACCAGATGGAGGAGGCGAGGAGGAGGAGGAGGAGCAGGAGGAGGAGGAGGAGGAGGAGGAGGAGGAGGAGGAGGAGGAGGAGGCGGAGGTGGAGGAGGAGGAGGAGGCGGAGGAGGAGGAGGAGGAGGAGGAGTATCCTCATCCTGGCTCCGTCTTGCAGGGAGCGCTGCAGTGCCTGGGCACCCTCAGGACGGGGGCAAGCGCCCACCCCACCACCGTCCACTCGTCGCCGATCGGGGCCTGGGTGCCCCTTCCTGCCTCGGGAACGTTGGGCTTCCCCGTCGGAGCGGCCACCGCTGGTTTCTCCGACGGCTGGTTTCGCCGACGGCTGGTTTCGCCTGGCTGGTTTCGCCGCCCGGCGAAGCCAGCTCCGTCGGCGAAACCAGTGCCGTCGGCGAAACCAGACCTGCCGTCGGCGAAACTGCCCGACCCGACCCGCCCGGTAGGGTCCGCCCGCCCGACCCGACCCGCACGAAGGGGTTCGCGCGTGCTCGGTCGAGCGCGCCCCACACTTTGATGTCCCGCCCGCCCGACCCGACACGCCCGTCAGGGTTCCTCCGCCCGACCCGACCCGCCCGCTAGGGTCCGCCCGCCCGACCCAACCCGCACGAAGGGGTTCGCGCGTGCTCGGTCGAGCGCGCTCCACACTTTGATGTCCCGCCCGCCCGACCCAACCCGCCCGTTAGGGTCCGCCCGCCCGACCCGACTCGCCTGTTAGGGTGGTTCGCGCATGCTCGGTCGAGCGTGCCCCACACTTGAATGTCCCGCCCGCCTGACCCGACCCGCCAGTCGGGGTCCGCCCGCCCGACCCGACTCGACTTGCCCGCCAGGGTCCGCCCGCCCGACCGGATCCGCCCGTTTTCAGCGACGGCGAAACCAGCCGCCGGCGAAACCAGCGGGGCGAAACCAAGGGAGCGAAACCAGCGCCGGCGAAACCAGCGCCGGTGAAACCAGCCGTCAGCGAAACCAGCGGGGCGAAACCAGCGCCAGCGAAACCAGCTCATGCCGTCGGGTTCCTGTCGCTGGTCTCTCGGCGATGCATCGTCGGTTCCAGGGCAATGTTGTTGCTGCTGAGCCAGTCCAACCTGTCGTTCCTCCGACGGCCGCTTTCGGCCTCGTGGCGGGACGCCTTCCGGGGCACCAGGACCGTCCAAATTACGGTACACATGGGGGATCCAGCTTTCTGGGGGCGCACGTGATTCAAGAAAGCAACGTGGGGGGTTTGGATGGCTCCCGGCCAGAAGCCAAGCGACTCGGAGTCGGCGCCGATGAAGCTTCACCCAGAGTCACTCCGATTGTAATATCCTCGGCGCTGGCTCTGGCCAGCCCACTTCCGGGCCGAGGAACTGTGCATGATGATGCTTGCCCTGCCAGGTCAGAGCGGCCTGTGCACCGATACATTTCAGAGGAAAAGTTTCCCATACCTCTACTGTAGGTTCGTGTCGTGTCGACCGGCGGCGACCCCGCCGCCGACGTTCAACGTTGAACGCCGACGGCGGCCCAGAATCGGTCGATGTTGAACGATTGGACGTTGCGGAGACGGCCGATCGTTCAAGGTTGAACGATCCAGCGCGGTGTCAGGAACCAACGCCAGGGTCGACACAGCACGAACCTGCAGTACCCTTCCCTCCTGGGAGGCCCTCGTCGCCACCGCTGGATTCGCTTCGAAATCCTGGCCAGGACGCACCCCGGGAGCCTCCCAGCGCCCGTCCTGGGGGGGCGCTCCAGGTGCCCTCTTTCTCTTCCTCCTCCTCCTCCTCCTCCTCCTCCTCTTCCTCCTCCTACCTCTCCTCCTCCTCCTCCTCCTCCTCCTCCTCCTCCTCCTGGCCCAAGGTACACCCCCAGCTTTTCGTTTGATTTTGGAGCCAGTGGAGCCCTCTGGGCCTCGTGGGAAGGGCTCCCGAGGCTGCGGGGGCCTCCCTGGGATTCCTGCGGATTCTTCTGGTACTTCTAGGCCTCGCAGATGGGGTCGGAGTAGATGGGATGGGAGGATCGCGCCGCATCGCCGATGCATTGGCGATGCGGAGCAAACCTCCGACCCCATCTACTCGGACCTGGTCTGGAACGCCTCTGTCCTTCTGCCTCCTTTTCCAACGCCTCCATATCAAGGAGGGTTCCTATCGAGGGCAGCGCGCTTTGATTTCTAGCCCCGCAGGTGGTGCCACCGCCCCTCGAGACCGCGTCCATCTAATTATCCAGGTGCCTGCGGCAAGTCCTGCCACCGTGCCAGCGCAGCCCCTGGGGTGGCAAAGCTTCGAGCGCCGAAGGCCGTCACGCACGACACCTTTCGTCTTCGCTTTTCGAGGGCTCTCGTGGTGCCCAGCTGGGCCGTCTTGGGGCTGTCTGGGGCTCCTATGGACAATCTGGGATGATCCTTAGGGCCCGGGCCGTCCTGGGGCCGTCTTGGGGCCGTCTTGGGCCCCTCTTGCGCCGTCTTTCGGCTGTCGTGGGCCGTCGAGGGGCGCTCTGGGGCAATCTTGGGTCTATTATGGGACAGGCCATCTTTCGGAGGTTGATAGACCTCCTGCCCTGAGACGTCGATTAGCGAATTGGCCGTTCTCGGTTCGCGAGAGGGCGTCGCGGCCGTCATTTTTGCGGGTCCAGGTCCGTCGGCTTCGGTCCCAGGCCGTTTTCGCTAAGGGGAGGTTTCCAAAAGGGAGGTTTGTTCACCGCCGAATCTTGGGCCAGTCTGGGGCTTTTCTGGGACCATCCTGGGCCTTCCAGGGGCCTTATTAGGCTGTCTTGAGGCAATCTTGAAGGATTATCCGGCAGCTCCACGCTGGAATCCTCTAGGGCCGTCTGGAGTTGTGGGAAGACCGCAAGGCGAAGGCCCCCAAGTCTGTCAGAAACCCTTAGCCAGTCAATGGCATGATTTTGGCTTCTTCGGGCCCCTCTTTGGCCGTCTTGGTGGCCGCTTGGGTCACCCTGAGGCAATATCGGGCCGCCTCGGGGCCGTCTTGGGCGGTCTTGGTTGGCTGTTTTGGAGGCAGGGGTCGCCACCTCGGGAGTGAGGACCCATCGTTCTTTGCAACGGATCGTGGCCTTGGGGGGGGCGATGCATGCGGTATTCTGTGACCGGGAGGTTTTGTTTGTTTTTCTCGTGGGGCACGTTTGGCCGACACCCTTGCTCCCTGCTGAGTTAAGAAGCGCGGCGAAACGTTATGTTTCAGAGCGAGGTGCCTTCCCCAAATATCAGTGGTTGACGAACGATAAGTTGACAGAAGATGTTTACAGACCCGACCAGACTGTCCTTCGTGATTCTGCCAAGCCTCAACGTTCCACGGGGGCACGCTGGCGGAGCTGCGCAGCTGCAGACAAGACCTGCGCAGAGCCCCGCATAGTTACGGGCCGCGCCAGGACAGCTGGTGCGCTCCTCTTAATCACCACTCGATGAAAATAGTGGAGACTGGGCGAGGCTCTGAGACCTGCACTCCTGCACATAGGCGCCCTCCTCCTGCACGACCGGACCACTAGTCTATGGTGAGACCGCGTCCTGTGTGCCCAGAGCAGCAGAAGATCCTACTGCTCCAGATGCATGCGTTCCCCACCTGAGTGAAGGAAGAAGACCGACTTGCGCGCGTATGCTGCCCGCGTAAGGTCGCGCGCAAGAGCCCTCGTCTCCACTGTGGCGTGCCGCGCTGGCGGCCCGCGTGAGCCACCGCGTAAGGTCTTGATGCTTCTGCGTAATTCGCTTGCAAATCATGGGAGTCTGGTGTACCCTCTAAATTCCGTGTTTACCGTCGGTTTGTGTCCATCAGCGTTTGGGAGTCGATGAGACAGCGCCTATTTAGCGTCGATTGGCCACGATTTAGCGTCGAGCTGGCGTCGACTGGCATCGATTCGCCAAATCCGGCAAGATGGCACGGGAGGCTACAGGAGATGCCACCGAAGAGGAAGACCGGCTTCTTCGCGTCGCTCACCTGCTCCCTCGCATGCTTTCGTTTGGGGCCCGCTGTGTCTCGTCCCCGGGACATCCCCCGGGTGCTGCAGAGCGCAGGCCAGAGCGCGCACGGCGGCTTTCTGCGAGCCCCACCCTCCGAGCTCCGCCCCGCTCGCGAGGTGCAAAAGTGTCCCTCCACCTCCCCCCCAAATCAAAATCAAGGGTGAACAACACCACAGAGCATCGAATCAACAGCAACATTACATCGACAGATAGGCAACACATGACTGGCATCAAAGGTTAACAACCTCTGCCCCTCCACCTCCCGTCTCCGGCCTCCCCCCCGCCTCCTTCCCAGGTCCGCCGCCTCGCCCTCGCTCTCGTTTATCCTCCCCCTCCGCCACCTCGTTCGCCTCCCCTTCACCCTCCCCCATCTCCCGTTCTCGTCGCCCCCATATACCCCCTCCCCCTCACACACATCCTCTCGGCGATAAGCTCGGCGAGGGTACCCTCGTGTTCTTAGTGTTTGTTCGATGTTCTTGCGCACCCTGGGGAGGATAACCTTGGATGTTCTGCTTGTCCTGGCCGACGGAGGGTCTCGTGCTCTTGAGGGATGCATGCCCTCCTGGCCCAGGTCCGACTGTAGATCGCCCCATTCCTCGTCTCGCTCCTCGTGGCTCCACCCTCTCGCCTCCCGCGGCAGCGCCGAGACGGACGATCCTGGCTGCCGACCGAGCCGGACTGACCCGCGAGGGCGCCCGGCGCGCAGCGGCGGCGCCCCCCCTTCCTCTCCAGAAGCCCCCGGAGACACATCACGGCTCGGCCGGTGCGAAGTCGGGCCCGTCCCTGTGCAGGGGGGATATTCAAAAATAGTCGAAGAATAGTCCCGGGGAGGATCTTTGGAGTCGGAGGTTGGGGGGTGCGATCGCAGTGGAACGGAGACCCCCAACAGGGAAATCGTTTCGTTTCGTCGTGTCGTGCGTGCGGGCGAGGCGAAGTTGCGTGGGCGCGCGAGAGGAATGGACCCGCCGTTGCTAGGGCGAAGTTAAGACAAATGATTCTCCCCCGCCCGCCCGTCCGGCGGTGGCCCGCGGTGGCCCGCCGTGTCCCGCCGTGTCCCGTGGTGTCCCGTGGTGTCCCGTGGTGTCTGCCGTTGCTAGGGCGAAGTCAAGACAAATGATTCTCCCCCGCCCGCCCGTCCGTCCGTCCGTCCGGTGGTGGCTCGCGGTGTCCCGCGGTGTCCCGAGGTGTCCCGTTGAGTGAGATCGATAGTGAGATCGATACTGAGATCGATATTCAGATCGATAATGAGATCAGTACTGAGATCGATGTGGTGCCGCGAGGTGTCCCGTGATATCCCGTGGTGTCCTGTTGAGTGAGATCGATAGTGAGATCGACAGGTGTCCCGTGGTGTCCCATGGTGTCCCGTGGTGTCCAGTTAAGCGAGATCGATAGAGAGATCGATATTGAGATTGATGTGGTGCCCCGAGGTGTCCCGTGGTGTCCCGTTGAGTGAGATAGATAGTGAGACCGATAGTGAGATCGACAGGTGTCCCGTGGTGTCCCGTGGTGTCCCGTTGATTGATAGTGAGGTCGATGTGGTGTCCCGTGGTGTCCCGTTGAGTGAGATCGATAATGAGATCGATAGTGAGACCGATAGTGAGATCGAGAGGTGTCCCGCGGTGTCCCGTGGTGGCCCGTGGTGGCCCGTGGTGTCCCGTGGTGTCCTGTTGAGTGAGATCGATAGTGAGATCGATACTGAGATCGATGTAGTGCCCCGAGGTGTCCCGTGGTGTCCCGTGGTGTACCGTTGAGTGAGATCGATAGTGAAATCGATTGAGTCAGATGTTGGTTCCCCCCACATCTCCCCCCCCCCACAACCTCCTTATCACCCGAAGGGTGGTCGTCTAGGTTTTTTGTTTTTTATTTTGTTTTGTACGTTTTACTATTTTTCATTATTCGTCCAGATACCGCCTGTCGGCCGACATGCCCGACCTCAGGCCGGTGCTCGCGGGTTCACACTTCGCATCGTCACCTCATGGGAGCCTCGGGAGGGGGCCGACGCCCCTCACAGCAGAGGACAGCCGCTGGGTCGGCCGCCACCGGATTCTGGTGGTGGCATCAAGTCGGGCTTGTCCCCCTACAGGGGGAATGTCCAAAAGTGGTCAAAAGATAGCCTGGAACTATTTTTTGAGTATGTTTGAGCATTTTTGGTGTACTTTTTGACTATTTCTTTTCTCGTTCCAAATCCGCTCGTAGGGGGAAGTGCCCGACCTAATGGTGGCAGGGGAGGTGCAGGACCACCAGGTGAGGCGCTCAAACAAGGGCCATGCCTTCCGGGATCGAAGGAGCTGCCATCGCTTCCGCGACGAAATGCGGAAGAGGTCGGCCGAAGGCGGCGGAAGTAAGACGTGGGCGGCTCCGCTGACTGGCGCTGGCGGAAGGCCGGCGGAAGCTGGCGGAAGCAAAAGTCGACCTCCCAAGATTTGGATGGCCCAAAAGGGATCCCAGCTGCAAGGGGGGGGGTGCAATAGATTTGGGGCAATCGTATTGCAAATGAGTTGCGCTGGAGAATTGTATTGCTATGTATTGCAACTAGTGTATTGCACGCGAGAACCCAGCAATACACTTGCGCCATGGAGTGTATTGCACGCCCCATTGCTCCAGACCCATTGCGCCACCATCTATCGCACCAGACCTATTGCACCACCCCCTTGTCGCTGGGCCCCCTTTGGGGTCAACCCGTCAAGAGATGACAGCCTCTTCGGGCTCCAGGACAGGGCACGCGCTGGGGCACGGGCTCCTCTGCTGGAGCCCCCGCCCCTGCTTAGGGCCCCCGAGGGGGGGCGAGCGCCGCCCGCCCGCCTCTGCCCGAGGCGCCGGCCCCGACCGTCTCACTGAGGGGGGAGAGAACCAACGGGCCCACCGCAGGTTTCAGCCCCACGTCGTTCTCGCCTTCCGCAGGGGAGGCAGAGGCAGCCATGGGGGTTCACGATCGAGCGCGAGCTCGCGGCGGGTTCGGCGGCCGCTGCGCCTCCGTGCAGCCCGCGCGCTCGGTCCTGCGAGCGTGGCCGAGGCTCCAGGCCTGGCCTTCGGCCCCCTGGGTGCCCCAGGAGGAGCCCAGCACCTGGCATGAGCAACCAGCCACGCGTGGGCAGCACTCGACAGGGATGGAAGAATAGGCCCACCAGACAATCATCTAAGAACCATTCGAGGTGGACAGGGATGAAGAGTGGGCCCACCAAACAATCTTCTAAGAACCCTTTTCTGTGGTTTCTACGGAATGGTCTTAGAACATTTCTGGCCGATGCTGTCTTGTTTTAACACGTCGGGCTTATGCTTAGGAGCACTGCTTTTATGCTTAGAACATTTTTGGGTTCTGAGAACACGTCGGGGGAGGCCTGAAGGAGTGCCGGGGCGGTCTGTCCCTGCTCAGGAGAGGAGCAGGGAACAGAAAGCAACACGAGGGCGGGGGTGGGGAGAACGGGGCAGCAGATGGACCAGGGCCTCCCGACTCCGCCAGATGGCGGCGCTCCTGGCCTCTGCTCCCGTGGGCCGTGCCGCGCGCGCGCCTCGAGCGCCGCGTCTCCCGAGCCGGCGAGCGGGCCCTCGGAGGTGGCCTCGCGAGGGCACGAGCCGGCGGCCGCGCGGCGCGCGGCGCGCGGCGACGCCCCTCGCACCGGTACCCATCGGCCGTCGGAAGTAGGGATTTCTGGGAGCGCAGATTCCAATCTACTTTGAGCGCCTCCCCACCTCAATGATCGGGCGGCTTGACCTTTTCCGTCCTCCCAGGGTCGGGTATGGCCAGGACCCAAGGTAAGGGGACCCGGTTAGTAGTAGGACCCCGGAGCTCCTAAATTGGCCAGAATCGCTAAACCAGGTCTGCCGTAGGTGGTGTTTTTTTGTTTTTTCGTGTGACGGCAGTTCTGGTTAGTGGAACTGGGCGGGGGGGCGTCCCCCAGGTCACATCACCAAACCAGGTCCCACTAAACCCAGTTCTGCCAACACCCGACAGGGGGGCGGGCGGAATCCAGTCTGCCTTCGGCGCCCTCCTGCTTCGTGTTTCTGCGTGCCCCTTCCGACCGGTGGGCAGCGGGCCCGCCGCGCGACCCGAGACGGAGCGTCGTGGGCGACGCTGCACGAGGCCAACAGCGTCGTGGGCTTCCCGAACGGCGGAGTGACCGAGGCGAGCAGGAGCGGCGCCTGCGCCCGGTGCGCGCCGCTCCCCCCCCCCCCTGGCGGCAGGCGGCGTCCGGGGTGGAGTTGCCGAGTGAGCCTCCCGAGGCCCTACAGTTTACCAGCCTCGAACGTATCCCTATCCCTAAGATTGACACGCCAAAAGGCGATGACAATCTTAGGGATGCGCCCTCAAAAATAAGGGAATCCCTAAGATTGGCATCGTGATGAGATGCCCAGCATAGGGATAGGGACATGTTCCTGGGTGGTAAACAGTCGGTCCTGATCAGTAGGTCGACCCTGCCAAATCCAGGGTACCCTTAGGTACCCTTGTGTCCTGTGCCTCGCGACCCATGCCTCCTACATCCCCCATGGCAATGTGGCCCTCGGAAGGGTCTTGTGTCCTCTCGCGTGTCCTGTCCAATCGAGTCCGACCCTAGGCTGAAGTCGGGCGTGTCCCTCCACAGGGGGAGAATCTTCAAAAACAAACTCCACATGGCCTGGAGACGATTTTCTGAGCAGGTTTGACCACGTCGCGGTACTGCTTGGCTGGTTCTCATTATCCCCCCGAAGTCCGCCTGTAGGAGGACCTGCCCGACCTAACATTAGGCCTCCCAGATTGTGGGTCCCAACGATATTCGAAGAAGAAGAGGAAGCAACGCCGTAAACGTAAGCTTTTTGCGCTCCGCGCGGATCTCTTGGATCCGCGCGCAGAGCGCGCCAGGGAGGGGGCTCCAGCGCAGATCCAAGAAATCCGCGCGGATCGCCAACAGTTTATGCTTATGCTTTGTTCTTCTAAATCTGCACCACCACGTCGATTCCTCCTCCCTCCTCTACCCTCCTCTTCCTCTCTTCTTTCCCAGGGGAGGAAGTGGGGGAGGGAGGTGGTGGTGGTGGTGTTGTACACGCTTGGGCCCAGTACGGAGTAGATGGGGTCGGAGCAGATGGGGTCGAAGGATCGCGCCTCATCGCCCCTCTTCCCTCCGCCTCTCTCCTCCATCGCACTCCCTCCATCATCCCCCCTTGTTGTCCTTCCCGACCCCTCCTCCCATGACTCCTCCTCCTGGCCCCACCTTCTGGCCACCTCCTTCTCCTCCTTCGATCCGACCATCTTTCTGGATCTCCTTTTCCCCTCCCCTTTCCTTTTCTCTTACCCCTGCGCTCCCACACGTGCTTGTTTCAGTCGGCCTCCCATGTTGGTGCTGGTGTTGGTGATGGGCCTTCATCCGCTGGTTCCGCTTGGCCTCCACCTGCTCGTGCTGCTCGGCGTCCGCCTCGTCCTCCGTCTGCTGGTGCCAGATGCTCCTCGGGCGAACCCTTCTGGATGCCAAACTGAAGTGCCTGCTGGCATGTCGCTGCGGTGCGGCTGCCGAAAGTCATGCACATGCCTCTTCTGATGCATTCCACAATCAAGGTCCCACCAGTTTCGGCCCGAACGGGCCCGTGACACACCCCTGACCGGCACACCTTTGAGAGGTCAACATGGTGTGTCTGCTGCCGTATTGCAGGAGTCATTCCGACTCCGTCGGTTCGATTCGAAGCGATTTTTTTGCTTGCCGATTCGCATGGACCCGATGCGGAGACTCCGACTCGCGATTCCGATTTCGACTTCACCCGACCCGACCCGATCCCACTTCTGCCGACTTCTGCCGACCTGGCTTCGCTCCAGCTCTGCCCGGCTTGGGAGGAGGGAGGAGCAGAGGGGGGAAGAGGAGGAGGAGGAGGAGGAGGAAGAGGAGGAGGAGGAGGAGGAGGAGGAGGACAAGTCGGCAGCGACGGCAACAGTTGTGGCGACGACAGCGACTCGGCCTCCTCGGCGTGCCCCGGCGACCGGCGCCCCGGCGGCGGCGTCCGGCGAGGTGCCTCGCTGCGGTCGTTGTCCTCGCCGCCGCCGCCGCCGTTGCCGACGTCGTCTCCGCCACGTTCCGAGACTGAGCCTGGCGCCGTCGGGCGCCGAGATGCGCCCCTGCCCTCTCGACCCCTTCCCTCCTTCGTATTTCTGTCCCCCCGTGGCCCCGAGCCCCGAAAGCGGTCTCCCGAGGCCCCTCCCGCCGCTCCGAGGGGGCCCCGACCCGCCACGATCCGCCACGACCCCCCGCCCCGAACCCCCAACCAGGGTCGGGGCAGGTCCGGGGGAGTCGTCGTCGTCGTCGTCGCCGTCGTCGTCGTCGTGGTCGATGTCGATGTCCTTGTCGATCCTTCTCGTCGTTTTCGGTCGTTTTGTGGGTCTTCCCCGCGCGTGCCGCTGGCCATGTTCCCGCCGTGAGCGACGACCGGGTCATGGTAGGTCGGGCATGGCCTCCTACAGGTGGATTTCTGACGAAAATTACAAGCATTGTCAAGAAACACCTCTCAAGATAGTCAAACATATCCAAACATCATCCACATATTATGTCTTAAATATGTTAGAAGTTTCCTCTTGTAGAGGGACAGGGCCGACTTAAGGGTCATGGGGTCTTGAGGAGTCATGGGGGCCGGGTCCTGGTGGGTCCTGGGAGGTTTCGGAGCCGGGTGTTGAGGTGGGCCAGTTCGCGTGGGCGCGCGATGACGCTCGACGACGACTAGGACGACAATATTCGACGACGACGCCGGACGACCAGGAGCAACAGATTACGACGATGTTCGACGATTCACGCCGCCGTTCGAAGACGACGCCCGACGACGTTCGACGACTGGAGACGACGTTCGGCGACGAGTGCGACGAGGGTGGACGAGGATCTTGCGAACGAGTTCGACCAGAGGTGTGAGGACGCGCAAATTGTGCCTGGCGTTTACGATGCCGATCCAGCGTCCGTCAGGCATGTTTGCCGGCGTCTTCCGAGTCGATGTGTCCGCTTATTTCTGCCGATATGACGTCCGTGTTGGCCCGATTCGATTGATCGATTCGATGTTGGGGGTCGGTTGCCGTGTCGTGGCGGTGGGGCGTTCTGGAGCCGTGCGCGTCGTTGCGGGAGTTGCCGAAGACGCCCACGGTAATTCATTGCTACCACGTTGCCTTTCAGACGTGTAGGGCGAAGGTGCGGCCTCTCCAGTGGACTGCGGGTCCCCCCCCCCCAGCTGTTGTGGAAACCGTTGGGGGGAACAGTGGGATGGGTCCCCTGGGCGTGTCCTTCGGGTAAGTATAGCCAGGACCCCAGGCAAGGGGACCCGGTTAATAGTAGGGCCCCAGGGCCCCCAAATTGGCCACAATCACTCTACCAGGTCTGCCGTAGCTGGTGTTTTTTCGGGTGACAGCAGCTCTGGTTCGTGAAATGGGGCGGGGGGGCGTCCCCCAGTGCACATCACTAAACCAGGTCCCACTAAACCCAGTTCTGCCAACGCCCGAGTCCTGTGGTTGTCTTTGGGGGTATTTTGTGTGGTCTTGTGGGCGTTTTTGGGCACCTCCACTGGTATTTCGGCCCGTCTTGGAGCGCTTTCGGGCTGCCATGGCGCCTTCGGAGGCTGTCTTCGGGCTCTCCCTGGGCCGACCAGAGAGCTCTCCTGAGACATCTTTGGCATCTCTCGGGCCGTCTTGGAGCTCCTGCGGGATCCACTTGGGGCATGTGGGAACCGTCTTGGGCGACTCGAGTTGGGAATGTGCCTTCGGCCAGACACGCAACCGTGCTTGTGGGCACGATGCGTATGAGAGGCCTGCTGGTGGAGGCCTCTGTGAAGCATCTCGGGGTTCTTTTTATGGCGTCTTGGCAGCGTCTTGGAGCCTCTGTTCAGCCTCTTCGGGGCCTGTCCATCTCAGAGGCCGCCCTGGGGGGCAAGCTCGGGATGTCCGTTCGGGCTCCGCCTGTGGGCTTCTCGTGGCTCGGTCATAAACGTATCTGGCCGTCGCGCCACACCGCGAGACCCGAGTGGCGAGAAGGCGGGCCACGAGGCCCACAAGATAGCCCCAGGATGCCCCCGCGCAAGAGGGGCCAACGCGTTGCGCGATGTGGGCCCGCGGCCTCGGGACCCCGGGGCCTCGGGAGAGGGCCTCGCAGGGAAAACATTCCGAGAGCGCCATCTGGAACTCACGAGTCGCGCCCGAAGCTCGGGGAGGAGGAGGAGGAGGAGGAGGAGGAGGAGGAGGAGGAGGAGGAGGAGGAGGAGGAGGAGGAGGAGGAGGAGGGGGAGGGGGAGGGGGAGGGGGAGGGGAGGGGGAGGCGGAGGAGGTCCTGGGCCCCTCTGGAGGCCGGACGGCCTGCGGACCTTCCGCCCGGTGCCGAGGCAAGCAGGGGGGAACGCCAGTGGAGGGGAGGGCACCGATACCGCTACCCCTCGCCAGTTTGCCTCCTTGTCTGCCTTCTGGGAGGCTCTCGTCGCCACCGTTGGATTCGCCTCGAAGTCTTGGTCAGAACGGATCCTGGGAAAGGGCCGGGCTGCAGCGGCATCGGTGCCTCTTGGCTTCCCCAGAGGAGGCGAGGGGAGGGGGGGAGGAGGGGAGGGGTGGAAGGGGGGGGGAGAGAGGGGAGGGGGGGGGGCGGAAGCGGGGGGACGGAGGAAGGCTTGGAGGAGGAGGCGGAGGAGGAGGCGGAGGAGGAGGAGGAGGAGGAGGAGGAGGAGTGGAAGGATCATGAAGGGGAGAGGCGGCACGGTTGCGGATGGGTAGTCCTGAACGGTCTTGGGCAGGCTCGGGCATTCTCGATCTGTCTTTCTGGCGGGACGTGTGCCGTCTCGGACAGGGACTTCGCGCTTTGGGGGGGGGTCTCTTGCCTCTCTTCGTCCCCCGATGCGGCCCCTCCCCGTCCCGCCTGCGCCTCCTGAGCCTCCTGCTGTTCTTTTCCTCCTCCACCCTTGCGTTCATCTCATGTGTCGGCCGAAGCGGGTTTTGATCAAGGCCTTCCGCAGGGTTCGCATCCGCGACTGCTGTTTCAGGCCTGTCGCCTGTCACCACCCACTCACCAGAGTCGCAGGGAAGCAGGGAAGATTGGATGGTCGTCGTGTTCTTCTTCATTGTTTTGCCGATCGGCGCCGGCCCCCTCCCCCCCTCCCCCCCACATGGAGTGGATCTTGGATGCCTTTGGTACCTGTTTCAAGCAGGTAGGGTCTCCCCTCGAGGACGCACTGTTTCAAACAATGGCGGTAAGTCCGGAGCCACACCCCTCCCCCTCCCCACCCCTTCCGCCCAGTGTCGAAACGCCGAATCAGAAAACGTTCACCTCCGTTTCAGTTCTGGCCATTTCTCAGAGCGTGAATTACCTACCCCGCTTTCGCTTCCAGGCAAAACCAAGTCATACCACGCGCCTCCTCGTCAAGCGGCCTGACCAGTACAGGCCGTAGTTTGGCATCGCTTGGTATCTCTTGGAAGCGAGGGTGGTCAAAAGCGAGGTAGGTTTGTTTGCCCCCTAAGTCCGCTTCCGTCTCAGCCAGCCCTGGTTTGCAGAATCCCATTTGCTCCGGACTCGCTCCGCCCGGCCAGGAGCTGCTCCGGCCCTGGCCTGGGCCACAATCTTACCAGCCTCGAACCTATCCCTATCCCTAAGATCGGCACGCCAAAAGGCGATGACAATCTTAGGGATTCGCCTTCAAAAGATAAGGGAAGCCCTAAGATCGGCATCTTGATGAGGAGATGCCCAGCATAGGGATAGGGATATGTTCCAGGCTGGTAAACAACCGACAAGTCGGATCGGCGATCGACACGAACCGGATCAACGGAGATCCGCAGCCGTAGTCGGGAAACGTCGAATCGGCAGGCATCGGCAGGCTAGTAGGCTTCCTTTGAGAAATCGGGCCCCAAATCGGAGTTCGAAGTCTGATCGAATCAGAATCGGAGGCCATCGAAGTCGAATCGAATCGAGTCCGAGGGATCGAAACGGGCACTCTCGGACATGCTGCCAGGGGTAGCCCTGGCACAGGGCGCCCCCTGACCTTAGTGGGCCCTGGAAACGGCAGGGCCGTTTTTTTACCGGTTCCGTTTTGCAGTTTTTTTGCCGGTTCCGACGCCGTTTTTTTTACCGGTTCCGTCGCCGTTTTTTAACCGGTTCCGGCTCCAGCTCCGATCTTGGAGCCGTTGTTTTTACCGTTTCTGGTCCCCGTTTTTTTGCCGTTTCCAATTTCAATGGACATTTTTCTGGAAACGGTGAAAAAACGGCCCTGCCGTTTCCGGGGCCCTTCCCCGCCGTGTCGGGGCCTCCCCTGGCCTCGTGAGGGGGGGGGTCCCGCGCGGGGGCCACTGCGGCCTCACCGGAGGTGCTGGGGGGGGCGCCCGTCGGCCAAGAGCAGCGCTCTCCTGGCACGGCTTCTTCGAGCAGGAGGTCGACGACAGGATTCTTCGGATGCAACTCCTGGGAGGTCAATTTCAGAGTTTGCCCTGGTTCGAAGTTCGGTTCAATCCGGCTTAATCCCGCTTCATCTGGCTTAATCCCGCTCTATCCCGCTCGATCCGGCTTAATCGCGCTTAATCCGAGGCCCACTCCGGCATAACATCCCCCCAATAGGGCTTAATCCTCTTCGGTTTTCCCGACGAAGACTGAACATCCCCCCAATAGGGCTTAATCTTCCTTAGTTCTTCCGACGAAGACCTCCCAGTAGTTGCCTCCTAGGAATTGTTTTACCCAACATTGAATTTCTCGTCGGATATGCGAATCATCTACGGCGGTTCCACGCATTTGTCGCAGACTCGATGGGGGAACTCCATTGTAGAATAAACCAGTTGTGTAGTCGATCTCCTACTCGACTCACGAGTCGGGGATCGACTACATAATTGATTTTCCCACAGAATTCTGTGTTCGTCGAATCTACGTTAAGTACATCTCATGTTCGTAGCTACACGAGCACTGCACGCACGTGTTACAGATCCGACGGATACGCCAATTCTGGGTAACTCTTGTAGTCGGTTCCCTGCTCGAATGTCTTCTGGGCTCTGCGACCTCGCTCTTCCCCGGCCTTCCCCGAGAGTACTGCGCCGCGACCCCCCCGACGCGCCACGACGATGGCGCTCACCCACGCCGAGCCCCGCCTGGCGCCGCTCGACGACTTCCAGGCCGAGGGCGCGCTGCTGCGCACGCAGAAGCGCCGCCAGACCTACTCGGGGCACTCGGCACGAAAGCAAGCTCTAGGCCTCCTAGATGAGCGACGGAAAAAAAACGGGGTCGTCTGCGCCGACATTGGCGCGTAAGCTGCCTAAGGTCGCGCGTCAGCGCCCTGGTCTCCACAATAGCGTGCCGCGCCGGCGGCTGGCGTAAGCCACCGCGTAAGGTCGCATTGCCATCCCGCGTAAGACCCGTGTTTGATCTTCGCTCCGCCGAGGATCGCGCCTAGGCCCAGAAGTTCCTTCTTCCTCTTCTTCCTCTTCTCTCCAGGGCCAAGAAGCTCCTTCGATCCAGGCCTTTCTCAAAACATGCCCTGCGGCCTCATTCAAGTGGCCCCGAAGCCCTCAAACTCAGCTTTAAAGCGCCTCCCAAGGGGCCTTCAGGTTTCCCATAGGGGTTCTGAAGCTTTTCTGCGAGTTTCTGTGGGCTCTCTAAGGAGAAGAGGCTCTCCAAAGGGTTGTGGGGGCTTTGACACAGGTTGTGTGGCCTTCCCCAGCGGCTTTGGCTTTGGGCCACCCTGGCGTGGTGATGCCTAGAAGCAAGTCGTGAGCAGCGCGATTGCGAAGCCGATGAGTCATCTGGGCTGGAGATGTTGAAGTGCCTCAAAAGAGGTGTTGTCAAGACTTGGGGTGGGTGATTTGGGGGGGAACCATGATGGATGCATGCAGCATATAGCATCACATATCCTTATGATACATGGTTTGTTGTTGTTGGTGGTGGTGGTGTTGGCGTTGGCGTTGGCGTTGGCGCTGGTGTTGTTGCTGCTGCTGCTGCTGTGTAACCAGGGGCCAGGGACACAGTCTGAGAAGCAACGCTTTCTCTTTACACAATCCGGGTGCGATCCCCTGGAGGGGCTTCTCCATCGAACAAAAACAACGGGCCTTGGTGAGGGACATCAGCAATAAGTATGCTCGGGAGCTGAGAGCTCAACCAGAAAGAACTCAGCGAGCAAGCATGCTCTGCGCCACGGAATCCCACGGACGGTGTAAGACCGTTCGGCCCCTCGCTCTGACAACATCGCATCAGCAACGCGACTGGCGCCCTTGACCCCAGCTTTCTGCGGCAGGCTTCGAGCCAGATCGATATGTGAGGATCAAGGGGCCCCTAACAAAGTCAATTTGCCCGTTGCGGACAAAACGTGCAACGCCCAGATCTCAGGGTCTGGTCTCCCGCTTTGCGCCACGCCCAGGTATACGCCCTTCCACCTCGGCCTGCTGAACGACGACCCCGAGCCCGAGCTGGAGGTTAGATAGTAACCATGGAAGCCCCCATCGCCCAGTAGCGCTCAATAGCGCTGGATCGTGCCCCATGGGGCCCAGGAGCGCCGAGTACCGCTCAGATAGCGTCCAG